GAATTCTATAGGAAGGTAGATCTCCAGGATCAGGGTTAAGCATACATACTATTTAACTAGCAATATTGAAACATAAAATTTGACTAGTTTTTTAATATACTAGTATTCAGCTTAAAGTGACATTTAATGGCTTAACTAAGTTAAATAACTTAGGGTAATTAGGCGAATCATTGTACTACAGTGGTTTGTTCTGTATAAAAAAAAAAAAAAAGAAAAATCTTAAGGGGGTGTTACGGTTCATGGAGAGTTGTTTGGATTTTTGCCACCTGCTCCCTCTCTGTGGCTCTCTCTTTCCCTGTCTGTTATTCGCTCTTGGTCTTGCTCTCGTCCCATCACCATTTGTTCTGCTATTTTTTGTCCTTATCAGGTATCTGCTGATTGGATCCCGAGCCTGTCACTCCTCATTAGTGCATTTCCTCATAGACCAATCAGGCTTTGTTGTACAGATTTTAAATCTGACCGGCACGCCTTCCTTGTTCAGTGCTGTGTGTGTTTGTTTGTTTGTCGCTTCTGTTTTTGTATTATGGTTTGTTCCTTATTGTTTATATAATAATCTAAATATCTGTAGTCTTAATATGGTTTAAAAGTTTATCATTCCTTTTTGGGGAAAAGAGAATAGACCCTTTTCACATTTGCGGGATTCTCTGTAGCGGAAGTCATCATAATTAGCAAAACTTAGGCTGTTTACACTGTTTACACTGCAGGCAAATGTGGCCCAAATCTGATTATTATTATTATTTTTTTACCAACATGTGACTCAGTTAATGACAGTGTGCACAGCCCAAACTGCATGGAATATGGTCTTTTCACTTTAGATTTGTGCCACTTTCATATGTACAGGGTAGGCCGTTTATATGGATACACCTTAATAAAATGGTAATGGTTGATGATATTATAGTCCTGTTTGTGGCACATAAGTATAAGTGAGGGGGGAAAGTTTTCAAGATGGGTGGTGACCGTGGGAGCCATTTTAAAGTCAGCCATTTTTGATCCAACTTTTGTATTTTCTATAGGAAGAGGGTCATTTAACTACTTGGCAATGTCACAAGAAAAAACAATGGTGTGCTTGGTTTTAACGTAACTTTTTTTCTTTCATGAGTTATTCACAAGTTTCTGACCACTTATAAAATGTGTTCAATGTGCTGCCCATTGTGTTGGATTTATAATGCAACCCTCTTCTCCCACTCTTCACACACTGATAGCAACACAGCAGGAGAAATGCCAGAACAGGCTTCCAGTAACAGTAGTTTCAGGTGCTGCACCTCTTGTATCTTCACACCAGAGACAATTGCCTTCAGATGACCCCAAAGATAAAAGTCTAAGGGGGTCAGATCGGGAGACCTTGGGGGCCATTCAACTGGCCCACGATGACCAATCCACTTTTCAGGAAACTGTTCATCTACGAATGCTCGAACCTGACACCCATAATGTGTTGGTGCACCATCTTGCTGGAAAACTCAGGGAACGTGCCAGCTTCAGTGCATAAAGAGGGAAACACATCATCATGTAGCAATTTCAAATATCCAGTGGCCTTGAGGTTTCCATTGATGAGGAATGGCCCCACTATCTTTGTTGTATATGCTGTGAAGATACAAGATGTGCAGCACCAAGCACACCATTATTATTTTTTTTTTCTTGTGAAATTCCCAATAAGTTTGATGTGTCAAATGACCCTCTTCCTATTAAAAAAAAAAAAAAAAAACTAAAGTTGGATCCAAGATGGCCGACTTCAAAATGGCCACCATGGTCACCACCCGTCTTGAAAAGTTTCCCTCTCACATATACTAACAAACAAACAGGACGTAAATATGACCAACAAGTCCCATTTTATTAAGGTATTTCCTATAAATGGCCCACCCTGTAATATTAAATCAGACACAGATCTGATGTTTTGCTATGCGACCGCAGTGTGAATGGTTATGTCGGATTTCATGTGATTTTTACATAATCTTCGAGCGACATGAGTCATTGTTCTGTGCTGCATACATCATCTACCCCTCAGCAGCATAGTAGAATGGCACACAGGGCAATTACAGTACCATAGTTGAAAAAGATTTTGAAGGCAAAACTGGTGCTTGTTAACTGATCTGGTTAACGGATTGAGACACGGGTTGATCGCGAAGCAGAAGAGCCTCGTGGGTGATGCAGATAAGGGATCTGTGTCCAAAGGAGGGGGAACTTTCTCTCCGAGAGAAAAAAGGGCAGGTGCTCGAGCACCCAAACACCCCTTCTGCACCTGTCTGCTGTTTATAATGAAGTAAAACGAAATAACTCTGCAAACAGACATAAACCAACTCCGCCTTCACCCTTGATGAGTTCACTATACACCGTTGGTTAGAGCGTCAAGTGGCACCTCGGTTGTCACAAATCACAAATGATCAATGTTTTCAATCACAAGAGACTTATTTTAAGTCTCAAATGCTAAAATACACATTAGTAGTACCACAACACTTTACAGTTCATGAAATACACCACTGTAGTCTGTGAAAAGGGTAATAATCATATAAGCATGATCTGACAAAGTGCTTTATGCAGTGTACAGATTGAGTGCATAATCAGACATTTTATGCTGTCAGTAAGAGTACTTTTGCACATGCGGGTTAGTTTAGGAACAGGATCTGTTCACAATGCAAATCTGATATTGGCCACATTTATAAGAGAACAGCAATACAAAAAAATCTGATCTGAGAAGAAGAAAAAACTCAGATTTGAGCACTAAGCCTTGCAGCCTTAGAGCACAGTGAATGTGAGAATGCAACAAATAGTTTTTTTTTACAATCTTGTTTATCTTGTTTGTTCAAATAATAAAAGGAAAACACCACGATGGTGTTATCAAGACTTCCAGAAATAAGAAAAAAATTGTGTGAGACTGATGACGGCAGCCAGAGGAGAGAATAACGTCAAATTTACAGTCCTGTACCATAGAGATGGTGCATTAGAAACGTCTCGCACAAGCCATATTTGTTTTTTGTAATTTAAAACAAAGATATAAAAAATAATCTATTCATAAATGCATATAAATATTCATACTTTAAAAAAATCTAAATATTAATACTTTCAAGAATTTAAGATGCTGATGACCATTAAGTGCGTCATAACAGGCTTGTAAAAAGGGTCCATAGGTCATGCGACAGACATATTGCCCATAGTTATACAAGTGTTCAGAAACGTTAGGTAAGTGGGTGAGCACCACTTTTTGTATTTTTGTTTATTATTTTAGGGAGTGTACTTTATTGGTGTCAAATACGCTGCAGATTTCAGTTTCTTTTACACTTTTTTTTTTCTTTTTTTTTATATGGCTGTTGGTTTTGTTTAGTTCTTTGCTTTGACGTCACTTTCCTTTTCCCCCCTGTAACTTTTCGTTTGGTTATATTTCTGTGAGTGTTTCTATTTATTTTCAAATGCACTGTACAAAGCTCATACTTTGTTGTTGGCTTTATCATATTCTCTTAGAGAGGAATAAACTAATTAAATGTTAAGATTGTTTGTCCTTGTTTATTTCCATCCATTTTCTTCAGTTAAAATATCAATTTCTAAATGTTACGTTTTCTCTCCCTAAACACCTTATTAAATCGTAACAGGGGGCTAATAATATTGACCTTAAATGGTTAAAAAAATGTACAACTGCTTTCATTGTAGCTGAAATAAAAGAAATAAGACTTTCTACAGGAGACATATTATAGGATATCATAGGAATTGCTGTGAAAAAAAATTCCATGATTTGTTAAAGATAATTTGGGAAATGACTGCAACTGTATAGTCAGAAATATTCAGCATAACCTGCAAATTTTCACTTTTATTTTATTAGTGATGCACCAAAAACAGTGTTTCCTTTTACTAAAACTAACCATTTTTCATTTAGCTTAAAAAGTTTATTTCATTTCAAATAATTAAAGCTTAATCAAACCTTCAAATTAAAACAAGTTACATAGAAGGCATATTTGATTTCAAAGTTTTAAAGATTTAATTATGTTTCACATTGTTGCTGAAACATGAAGCTTTTAAACTGTGGCTGACTTGTTTGATGACACAAAATAAATAATGAAACATTATTTTTCTCGACTTGACTAACACATTTATGGCAATTGAAGGGCTGTTTAAAAAGTTATTGTGACATCACCATTGTCAGCTTTTTGAGTAAGGTTAATACAATTGTTATTGAATATTTAAAATGTCAAAATAAAAGTGCTTACCCACAACTTTGAGCTCAGCGCTGGCATAAATCACTCCATTATCATTCTCTGCCAAACACTGATACATCCCCGAATCAACCAGGTTTATGTTGGAGATGGTCAACCTGCCACCATCAACACGAATTCTGTCCTGAGCATAAACAAAACTATCAGAAATGACTGCGAACAGTGATAATAAACTACAATACTATGACAGTCAAATATAATAGGGAGTTTAAAGCATTACAATTCATCCAAATGCATTAGAATGTGCCTTGTTTTATTTAATTTGACCCTCTGAAATGTTATTTATTGTAACAGTAGTTTGTATATTAAAACCCCATGACCAGGCATTTCCAGAAGATTAATGGTTTGATGAAATATTAAAATACTTTATTTGACAATCACAGTTAAGTTCAGATTAAGTTCAGTAGTATTTAATTGTAGTATTCACAATTTAAATTTATACAAGAATATCTTTGTCACTATTCCTAAAACCACTTGGTTTTAAAATAAATCTAAATATAATACAATTTAATTTGATCATGACATATTAGTCTACAATTTTTAATTAGAATAAAAGGTTGACAGCTTTTTAAATTTTTTGAATCTAATTAATTGCATGATTTAGTGATTAATTCATCTTAAATTAAACTAATTTTAAACTCCCTATTTAACTGCATATTAAATTTTGCTGAGAAATTACACCAAACAACATTTATTAAGTCATTTTTTATGCAATAAGAGTAAAACAAACACATTTTTATGGCTCCAAAACCATCTGACTAGCTCCAAAATAACCTCTTTTTTTATCAATATAAAACAAAAAATCAATAATAAATAGTACTTTAAATATCAAACTAAAACTACCACTATGTGGCGGTACATTTCTAACAAGTAAAATCGTTGAATCATTTACTAATTTGACTCATTAAATGACTGAATCATTCAGCAATGAGTTTAACATTGATTCACCCTGATTGGGGTTGGGGTTGGGGTTGGGCTGATGAGGTAATGAAGTTTTTTCATTAACGCATTACACAGAACATTTTTTTACACTTTGATTTTCACTAAAAATATTGAATTTAAATGCTTTTTATGCACATAAAAAATACTTTCGAAAAGTTTTTTTTTTTTTTTTTTATTCAAACACCAAAAACAGAACACACACTCTGCACATTTCAACACACATTCAAAATATGTTGTGTTAAATGCAGGATGCAAATTGACTATCGGGGGAGGGGGGTTGGGAGGAGTGGGGGTGAAGTTTTTCGGTTATGTTGGGTAATATGCCTCAGCGAACCAAATTTATATGTTCAAATGTAATTACATCTAATTTATTTATCAAACTTGTTATTATGCTTTCAGTGTTTTGGGGGATATTGAGTGGTTCTCATAGACATTTGTGGTTTTAAATAAACAGTGACAGGTTTGCTTTCCTACACCTATTAATGGATGACCATGACCAAAGACTGCAAGTATTTTCATTTTATTGTTAACTTCCTGGGGCGAGGCAGTGGCGCAGTAGGTAGTGCTGTCGCCTCACAGCAAGAAGCTCGCTGGGTCGCTGGTTCAGTTGGTGTTTCTGTGTGGAGTTTGCATGTTCTCCCTGCCTTTGTGTGGGTTTCCCCCACAGTCCAAAGACATGTGGTACAGGTGAATTGGGTAGGCTAAATTGTCCGTAGTGTATTGTGTGAATGTGTGTGCGGATGTTTCCCAGACATGGGTTGCGGCTGGAAGGGCATCCGCTGCGTAAAAACTTGCTGGATAAGTAGGCGGTTCATTCCGCTGTGGCAACCCCGGATTAATAAAGGGACTAAGCCGACAAGAAAATGAATGAATGAATGTTTAACTTCCGTGTGTATCTAGTTTTACAGACACCTACAAACAAAATGTTTTGTGAACACGTACGCTGTCTGTCCGTGCTCTAAATTTGCCAGTTTCAAACCAATGAATAATATTTTTGACGCAAACATGCACTCACAATGGTATGAACCATTATAGGGGTGGTCAAATGTATATTGAAGTTATCTATTAATTTAATTATTAATATTATTTAAGATACAGATTAGAGCAAACTATTTCTTAACTATAAAAGATCAGACCCCACCCATACATCTTGTTTTGATGTCCTTCAGGGGGGATCAAGCGTTAATTGATCCCCCCCAAACCCTGCTGTAATTTGCACCCTGGTTAAATGTGATGAACAAAGTTATTCTGTCAGTTTATGTATATTATCACCTGAGAGACCAAAGGCTGTCCGTTCTTGATCCATCTGTAAATGGGCTGAGGTTTTCCATTGGCTTTACACTCCCAGTGCAGATCCGACTCAATGGCCATGTTTGCATCATATAGAGTCTGCGACCACTGCAGGTGCTCCACATCTGCACAAACAGCAATGATCTAATATAAAACAAACGCAGAGGTCCGCATCCTACTATAATCAAGTTTATCTCTCTCAGCATTCGCCCTTGCAATGCAATGCAACAATGATGAAAGTACTTCGCTTTACAAACCACTGAAAAAAGTGAGGTTACTCTTTGAGCAATAATTCAAGATGATACTTCCTGTCTTGATGAGCATCACTGCTGCTGTGCATTTATTGTGGCCTTTCTGGGTAGACCAAACAATGCCTAGCAGAGCCTTTCTAATTAGTGTTGCCTTGACAATTGACAATAAAATCTATTCGTTCATTATTTATTATTTACCACAGGTTGCTGTGTGATCCGTTATCTGACTCATTAAAAATTTAAATTTCTCTTATTGATTGTCCTGCGGTAATCGTGATGGCCGACAGAATGCTGCATGGATAGGAGAGATAAACAGAGGTATTTTAACATTGAGAAAAACAGCCTGCACATTTTTTGTGTGTGTGTCTAAACATTTCTAAAAATGTGAAAAAAAAAGGAAACATGGGATCAGTAATACTTTTAAATAGCTTTTCCAGTTTCAGAGGCTGCATTTATTTAATAAAAACTTCTGAAATGTTATTACAATTTTAAATAAAAAAAACCTAAATTAAATGTTTTTATTATACACTACCTGACAAAAGTCTTGTTATTAATCCCAGTATTAAGAGAAACAAAAAATAACTTGACTTCTCTTTGATCGTTTGGAAAAGTGGCAGAAGGTAGATTTTTCCAGTGATTCATCTGTAAAACTGCATCCCAATCATCACAAAATGCAGAAGACTTATTGGAACCCACATGGATCCAAGATTCACAGAAATTAGTCAAGTTTGGTGAAGAAAAAATAATGGTTTGGTGTTACATTCAGTCTGGGGCATGCAAGAGATCTTCGGAGTGGATGACAACATCAACAGCCTGAGATTTGAAGACATTTGTGCTGCCTATTCAATTACAAACCACAGGAGAGGGCAACATCTTCAGAAGGATAGCTCTCCTTCTCATACTTTAGCCTCCACATCAAAGTTCCTTAAAGCAAAGAAGGTCAAGGTGCTCCAGGATTGGCCAGCCCAGTCACTAGACATAAACATTATTGAGCATGTCTGGGGTATGATAAAGGAGGAGGCATAGAAGATGAATCCAAAGAATCTTGATGAACTCTGGGAGTCGTGCAAGAACACTTTCTTTGTCATTCCAGATGACTTTAATAAGTGATTTGAATCATTGCAGAGATGTATGGATGCAGTCGTCATACACAATATTAATTATTTCCCACTGCACCATGATTTTATATTCTATACTGTACATTAGTTCTGTTAAGTGGCAAGACTTTATCTAAGCAAAGTCAGACCTTACTGTCCTAATTAAATAATAATAATAAAAAAAAAAAACAAGGCATAATCGTATTTTATTTTGGGAAAATAAGCTTAATCTAGAGGCCTTTGATTTTCATATTAGCCACAAGACTTTTGCTAGGTAGTGTAGAATGTAAATAAAAATTTTGTATTCTTGTGATTTTACTTCTGTTTTCGGATGTTCTGCTCAATTATTTATTATCATTATCAGTGTTGAAAAATGTTGGGCAGCTTAATATCATTGTGTACAGCTTAATAACATTAAAAAGTACTTACTTTTATAAATCAAACACTTATTAAATAGTTCATATATGTATCATGTAAGGAAATATTGCATTTCAAATAACTATTTAAATAAAATTATTATTTTAAAATTTCTTTAAACAAATGAATGTCCAAAATTTAAATGTATTCTGCAAAACATTAAAACTTCCAAGAATCATTATAGACCCATTTCTCATTTCTGGGTTTCTCAGTAGCGGAAGACGACATAGCTGGGTAAACTAAGAGCGCAGTGAATGGGAGAATGGAGATAATAATTTTTTTTATTATCTTCTGAAATAATAAAAGAAAAACTCCACGATGGTGTTATCAAGACTTTCAGAAAAAGGAGAAAAAATAGTGAGACTGATAATCGCAACCAGAAGAGAGAACAACGTTAGATTTACTCTCAGCCCCATAGATGCTGCATTGGAAACACCTCGCATAAGTGGTAATTCCTTTTTTGTATTTTGACGCAAAGATGATATAATACATACATCAATGCATATAAATGTTCACAAGTTGTTTTATTTTTTTTTTTAAATCAAAATATTAAAAACTTTCAAGGATTTAAGATTAAGATGACTGTTAAATGCATCATAATAGGTTTGTAAAAAGGGTGCTTTAATGATTGAGTACCAACAATATTTGATCATACTAGAACAGCAAATCAGCAGATTATAAATACTTAATTTAATTTTTGATTGTGTGACAGTGGAGTAAATCACTGATATAACTTTGCATAAATTAAATTGTAAATGTAATAATGGAAAACAATGAACAAAAATCTATATAATAATTGATTGTATTTTTGATCAAATAAATACAGCCTTGGTGAAGAGAACAGAGTTTTTCAAAACAATAAAGCAAGAAAAAATACATTCCTGACCTCAAACTTTGGACCGGTTATGTATTTTAGTGTGTATTTGACCTTACTTTGAAATACAAGCCGTCCTTTCGCAATACTGCGTCCTTTCGAGTTTTCAGCCACACATTCATAAAGTCCAGAATCCTCAGGACGGAAATATGGGATCTCTAGGACCCCATTTGAGTGATTTATCTTCATTTTCCCGGGGAAAGGGTTTCCATCCGCTCTCTTCCACGAAATAGAAGGCACTGGACTGAGGAAAGTCATGAAAAGGGAGCGTATTAACATCAAACTGAGCCCGGATGATGAATTGAGGCTTAACATGATTCACTACAGCAGAACATGTTAGCAGTTACTCAACATCCGTGTATAATATGTTACTCAGCATCCTTTTCTGCACAATTAGAATAAACGTCACTCACAAAGTTTGACATATTGCCAAGTCTTTGCATGATTAACACACATTTCATTTTGCAGCCATCCATAAATGTATTGTTGCTAAATTATTTTAGCAAACAATATAGCAGTTAATTGCAATGTGGAAACATGCAAACTTTGATTTCAATAATATTAGTAAACAAACACACATAAAACAATCAGTTGGTGATGTGAATTTATTCATTCATTTTCTTTTCCGCTTTGTCCCTTTATTAATCTGGGGTTGCCACAGCGGAATGAACCGCCAACTTATCCAGCATACGTTTTACGCAGCGGATGCCTTTCAAGCTGCAACCCATCACTGGGGAACACACATACACTACGGACAATTTTAGCATACACGATTCACCTATAGTGCATATCTTTGGACTTTGGGGAAAACCGGAGCACCCGAGAGAACATGCAAACTCCACACAGAAAGGTCAAATGACCCAGCAAAGGCTCGAACCAACAAACTTTTTGCTGTAAGGCGATAGCACTACCTACTGCGTCACTGGATCACCATGATGTGAATAATAATACATTTATATTATAGTTATATTATAGTCTCTGTTATCTAGCTATCCCCCAGAACCTCCCCATCCCCCTCTTTTTTTTCATTGTCAAATATTTCCCAAATGATGTTTAACAGAGCAAAAAAAATTTCACAGTATGTCTGATTTTTTTTTCCTCTGGAGAAAGTCTTGTTTGTTTTATTTCGGCTAAAATAAAAGCAGTTTTTAAAACTTTTTAAAGCATTTTAAGGTCAAAATTATTAGCCCCTTTAAGCTATATTTTTTCAATAGTCTACAGAACAAACCATCATTATACAATGACAATACAATAATGCTGTATTGAAGTTTCTTGAGAAACATATATATATATATATAATTCTGACTTTAATAATTAGAACTTTAACAATAGATCTGAACTTCACCGGTTCTTCTTTACAGCACAATGTTTATCTTATTTTTTTCTGTTTTATTTATTTATTTTTTTCTTGCACTGTTTCTTTTCCACCGGTCATTAAAGACCTTGCATCTTGGATCCTTCCTTGTTGTTATTTCATGAATCATGACAGAATCATTATTAATGTTTAAGTACCAATAATGATGGATCTTAATAGAACAGCAAATGATCATATTATAACTATTTCTAAAGGATCATTTGACTCTGAACAGGGAATAAATTAAGGTTTGAATTACATGAATTAACTACATTTAAAAAAACAAGTGAAAATGGAAAACATTTGCTTAAAATGCAAACAATAATTGTGAAAAACATGAAAAAGACTGTAACATACCTATTTTCATTATTATATTAATATCATATATAATGCAAATCCTCATATTATAATTATTTCTAAATTAGACACTGAAGACTGGATAAAATTAAGCTTCAAATTACTTAAATAAATAACATTATAAACATATGAACATGGAAAACATTAAATAATCATATTTATATATACATTAGTTTTTTTAATGATGAAATATGACAAATGAAATACAATACTATATTGAATAATATTAAATAATTGTAATAACTATATAATAATGTTAATAATGACTGCTGAAAATTTACCTTCACCATCACAGTTTTTTATTTTTTCAAATATACAGTATTCTCAGAGAAAACACAAACACAAATCACAACAACATTTCCAAATAAAACTCTTTTCTGGGTAAGCAAACTTCTTTCCAAAACAAAACAAAAAACTAAAACTCCCAAAATCTTAGGTCGACTACGTTTTCATTACATGTATAAATAAAAACATCTAAAAATAATTGGCCTGGTAGTATATCAGCTCTGCGCTTGATAGCACTCCGGTCTCCCAGCATCCCTCAGCACATTACCTGTGGACAATCCAAGGCCAGAGCCCCCGTCCCGCTCCAGGATCACAGTCTGCAGCTGCTTCTGAAATAATGCCTGCCCTCCTCCATCTGCCTCGACTACTACACCAAGATTAAAGCACCCTGTACATTTCCCCGACATTTCTCTTAAATAAACTGCTAAGATGTACTACGTGCCAAATGTGGCGATCCCCAGTTAAACACAGTGAGCCTCTGGAGGCCACGAGTCCATCTGTTAGTAAAAAAAGAGACCTACTTTCCTAAAGCGAAACACTCCAGCCGGACCGACGATCCTTTGGCCACATGGAGCATTTTTTCGAACTGGACTTCAATCTTTGGCTCGTATTCTCCCATCACACCTGTAAAAGCAGAAGAATCCAGAACACTTCAGTTTGGATGGAACTTTGTATGGTGAAACAAGGCATGTCAACAATGGTTGATGGCTGGACACTGGAAGACGCTTTTTTCTGTAGGGCTTAAAGGGTCACCAAACACCAAAACAAATTTTCTGAATTGTTTACAGTCATATATGTGTCCCACATTGCCAAAAACACTACTAGGACACAAATATTTTACTAAAAAGTGGAAAATTGGTTGTTTTTGCGTTTTTTCGAGCAAATTCGTTCTTCCGATTTGATGTCTGATTCCGAGGCTAGATGTCTGCACCGAGGGGTAGAATGTGATGTTTTCATCATTAATTCAAGAGAAAGACTTCAAGGTTCTAACCAATAAGTGCACTCTATTGTGTATGAGGTCCAACTTCATTAATATGCATGATAGCTTCGAAGACTGTTTTTACCTGTTAGTGTTCAGATGGCAGAGAGATGCCATGTTGTGTTGCCAACAATAATTAAAATGAAAGGAAGACGAAAAATTGTTTGGAGACGTGGGTTATCAGTGTTGCATTTATAACCACCCAAGCTCATTCAGAAAACGTAGTCCCATGGACGTTTCTGGAGACCGCGAGATACATCCCGGGAGGTACGTATTTTTGAATTTTTTGTTTTTGCGAATCCACGAGAGGCCGCTGAGTGCACTTTTTCGCATCTCAAATGTCTCTTAGATTGCTGTTCGCACCCGCGCTGTTCTCGCGTAAACCCACCAGAGGTCACTGTCGAACGACTGTCTGTCTGACTGGATGAATGATTTACTGGGCGACCAGCCAATCGTCCAATCGTCTTACTGGGCGACCGGCCAATTCACCCTCCTCCTTCCTTGAACCCAAGCAAATTTACCGATTGACCTGCCCACGCGCTTACTTCCCAAAAACCCAATCAACAATTTACAAAAGCCATTCAGCAAAAGAAAAGCCATCGTCTTATTTTTAGCATGTTTTTAAGTTTTACCACAATCTCACCCTGTTATGAACTTCTTCACTTTATTTTTTGGATTCTGCTTTTGTCTTACTTGATTTATGGAACCACTCTTCCCCGGACTCGAACCCTGTTGTCGTTGTCAGCTCCCTTCTGGGTCTCAAGTCCGCCGACGTACACGACGAGCTAACTGGACAAACTGGTTGCGGCGGGAAAGCCCTCCACACGGAGGTAAGCGGTCAGCCGGTAAGCACAAAAAGGAACAGTGTCATACCGCCCAGTAGAGTCGCTTAAAAATTAATTGCAGCCATACGTACCTCCGGCTACTTAATTCGCAGTCTCCAGAAACTTCCACGGGACAACGTTTTCAGAATGAGCTTGGGTTGGTTTATAAATGTGTCGCCAGAAAGGTTTTATTTTGTTTTAATTTCACCGCTATGAGAGCGCAGCTGGACTCACATGTGGATTATAATGGTCTACTAACATGTGACAAAAATATGTTTTTAAGGAACATTTTTTACCCAAGATTTTTTCGCATCCGGAAATGGTGAAATCCGGATTTGCTACTCGTCTCCTTTTGGTAAGTGTGTGATCAGTAGAGGTGTGAACCTACTGGTTCGGTTACGATTATCATGCCTTCGATTCGGTTCAATTCGATATCTCGGTGCATCACGGTGCATTGACGATGCTTCCCATATACAACGTTATATTTTAGGGGGGAGGCTATAACAAGCTGTCTGTATAAACACACAGACACACAGCACCACACTGTCTCTTATTCAAACACATGCACAAACATAGACAGCACCTAACAAACAAACACACACACACACACACACACACACACACACACTTAAGCCCTCGCAACAGGGAGAGCTTGCGCTGAGCGGAGCAGAAAAATGAAAAAAAAAAAAAGAAGCACTTTTCCGACGGTCCCTTACTGAGAGCTCCTCTCAGCGCGAGCTCTCCCGACTCCCGGCTAAACACATATTGCGAGGGCTTAAACGTAGCAGCTCGTAATGTCGAGCGAAAAAAAAAAAAGAAAGACAGCTGTGAAACATAACCAGCTTTGTCTTTTCGTAGGAAACACACTTTAGATCTTTAAGAGGTTTTTGAGTTATTGCCGTCTATAACGTTAACTAAATGTGTGTCAGGAATATCGAAAATAAAACCAACTGAACTGTGCTCATTTTTGGCGCCTCCCTGGATATACAGCGCCCTTAGCATTTGCCTATGGTGCCTATGCCACGGGCCGGCCCTGAGTTGGCTGAGTGTTGTAAATACTCGCGCTCACCTCCCTCGCCAGAGAGCGCATAGGAGATAAATGACGTCAGTACATAATAACCAGTTATGATTATTACTGAACCGATACCGAATTGTCCGCTTCTGCATCGCGGTGCACCGAAGAAACAATTCATTTTGAAACCCCTAGTGATCAGTCTTCTTTTGTTAATTCAAATGGCAAAGTTAGTATCATCAGCAGTACTCTCAGTTTTTAAAGACATACCTTGGTCAAAATGATTTAGTTACTAAGTTTACAGTACGTTAACATCACTACAATATTGTGGGCTGAAAGATCACCTTTAAATGCTCCTCTCCGAATGTAAACATGTAAACACCTTAATCAAACTATTACCGTTGTGTAGGATTTTTTGCCACATTTAGTGACAGGATAGTCCACACACACAGCTTTCTGATACTATTATCTGCACCTACCGAATTCATCTAAGTTACAGAGAAATGTGGAGTTTGTTTTTTTTTTTTTCTCCCATACGGTGTGCGGTATCCATTAAATCTACACTCCTCCAGCAGTTCCTGGCATCCAATATCTTGTTTGTCACAGGGGCATGCATGAAGTTTTCCTAAATGAAAGTGAAAGTGCCAAACACTTAAACTCAACAAGTTAGGAATTTATTGCAAGTGATTTGATGAATGATGTCCAAGTAAACGTAGTCACTGTCTTTCTCCTCTGCGTTTGTGTTTGTTTTGCCTCTGTGAAAATCAGCAGGTGTTTAAACTGAAACTCCCCTTTTCGTGAAAAGCCTTCCCTCTTTCGCCGATTGATACTCCCACCTAAACAAAGCTGGACTCCCCCACTTTTCTGTTTTTCAAACTAGGTGTGAAAACGCCCTGCTTATAAAGGGAGATTTCATCGCCCTTTAACCTAGGTTAGCAAAACTATATTTTAAAAAATGTTTTTAACTGTCATGAAAAACAAATGTATAATTCGTATTTAGGCATTTCAGTATTCCCACTTTAAGCCAAATATTAACTTCCCTAATTTCCCCTGACAAAAATGCTAAATTTCCATGGCATTTAATGACTGATAAAACCACCCAGGCTCAGTGTAGATATGTTTCCAGGTCTATATTTCTGGGGATGGTGAAATAAACTGGCAACACTGGAAAAGCAGTCTACAAGGAGGTAAGCAGTGAGTGGTAGTGCGAAAAGGAACAGAAAAAGATGGAGATGGAGGCAGACGTACCTCTGGGTACATATTTCACGCTCTTCAGAAATGTAGACAGGGGTATGTATCCACAATGAGCCTGTGTTGATAATATAGACTGCTGTTGTGCTTTATTATTAATAATATAATATTCAAATAATATGCTAATCATAAAATAAAATCATAAATCATAAAATGTAATAAAATCATAAAATTAAAATGGTTTTAGCTCAAAGTATATTCTGCAGAACTTTAAATGACACTATGAGAACAGCAATGAATCATTTTACTATATGCAATAGCCGTCAAAACAATGTGGAAAAATATGGTTCAGAAAAAATAAATTGACAAAAAAAAAAAAAAAAAAAAAAAAAAAAAAAAATATATATATATATATATATATATATATATATATATATATATATATATATATATATATATATATATATATATATATATATATATATAATTTTTTGTATATAAATTTAAGTTTAAAGCAGTAAACAAAAATTTGTGATATTACATGACTTAGAAATATGTAAGAATAATAAGGGTAATAATAATAAGAGAATGATAAATTATCTTATTATAAGAAGAATATAATAATAAATACAGTGCTCAGCATAATAGAGTGTGTCCCATTTGTAAAATAAATATTTTTATCCATTTCTCAGTGAATGCAGGCAACGTATTTTGGTGCATTTAAACAAAACAGATTTATTAAACAGATATATTTATTAAAATAATATTTGTCACCAAACATATTTAGAAATTAAAAGATAATTCAATTAAATTCAAGCAAAATATATATATATATAAAAAAATCAACCTTTTGAATTATTATTATTTTTATTTTTTTTGCTTCTCTTGATTTGTACTCTTCTTAAATTTGTATTTAATATTTTTCTATAACATAAATTTGGGTGTATTAGTTTTTGAAAAATTAACGTAAGTTATTTTGTTATATAAGCTTCAGGTTTGGCTTTAGTACTGACAAATGGTTGAAAAAAGACTTTTGTTTTATATAAATGCAATTAAAATGTGCATTGCTTGGTAAAAATTACATTTGGGCAAACCATTAAATAGTGTTCATTCATTCATTCATTCATTCATTCATTCATTCATTCATTCATTCATTCATTCATTCATTCATTCATTCATTCATTCTCCTTCAGTTTAGTCGCTTAAACATTGAATATCATTATATCTTTATTTAATAGTTTTAGTCCAGCTGATTCTTAATTTTACCTCTACAAGTGTAATAGCAAAACAAACAAACAAACAGACAAACAAACAAACAAACAAACAAACAAACCACACAAATGCCTTTATTTCTAACCAGTATGAGTTTCTTTCACCTGCTGAACAAATTATTTTAAATAATGCATGAAACAAATAGTTCACGATAGCCATTGCATACATCAGCTATTTGGTTTCACACATTCTTCAAATTGCCTTCTTGTTGTCCCAACTAATCTAAAACTTTTGATAGTGATTTATTTGTTGTATTATTATTATTATTATTATTATTAATATTATTATTATTATTATTATTATTATGGGTGAACTATCTTTTAACGTTACTTGGCCAACATGTATCCTTATTCAACAGGTTTATATATATTTTTTTTTTAAAAAGTAAAAATCCTGATAGTGGACCAGCTTTGGCTACGCTATTCAACTAGCACAAAACTTAAAAAATTATGCAAATTTATGCTGGCCTAAAATGATCTTTTCAGCAGGGAATGTAGATCAAACACACAAAAAAAAAGCGTAAGAAATAGGAATTAGAGAAGTAGTATGAATTCAGCACTGGTCTCGGGCCCAAAATATTAATAGCCAAAAATATTCAATATTCATATTCGTTCAAAATATTCAAAAACTCTCAAGCCTACTTTATACCTTGTCTGGGTGAATATTAAACAGACACTAATGAGTGCCAATGTTGAGCCTTGCAGGGTGTCTATGTGTGTGTGCGTGTGTGTGTGTGTGTGTGTGTGTGTGTGTGTGTGTGTGTGTGTGTGTGTGTGTGTGTGTGTGTGTGGACAAATTTTTCTCTCTCTTTCTTCACACTAGAACTATACCAGAATACTATTACTACTCAAAAGGCCATAGCAGTCATTCTGACTGTTCATATTAGACTGTAACAAATGTAATTTTTATCAGGTCACATTTACATTCAAAGCTTCCAATGAGGTTGCAGAATTAAGCTTTAGAGCTGTCCTGATAGTTTGTGCCTTAAGTAAAACCACTGTGTATATATATAATAATAATAATAATTGATAAAAAATATGAATAAAATGGACTTAAATGCATAAAAACGTTATGGGCGTTTACTCAACTTATATTTTGGTATACTTATTTTCTTACAGTATTCAGTATATGCACCCTTTTGTATTACTGTGCCCACATACAGCGACAAGCAGAGGACACTTTACAGTTTGACAAATATTGCAGCTGTTGGACAGCATAATGTACTTTTGACGCTTATTGGGAGAGAATGAAGTTGTTTAGGTTGCAACTATGCAGCTTATTTATAAGTATCGTGCCTATTTTAAATTTTTAACATTTTGGATCATCAGATACAGTGCATCTGCCACCATTAGCCTGTTTGATCAGACCAAAAAAAGTGTTGGTTGACGTTCTGCCACAAGATGACAGCATAATCAGTCCTTAGGGGAGAAAAACAGCATTTTCTCAGCATCCATTTCAAACTACAACTGAACAAATCATTATAAATCAGATAAGTGACATTCTAAGTTAATTTCTCTCTTTTGTGTTTTGTAGTGCTGTATTTATACCACAGAAAGTAGTAGTATTTGCTTTGCTCTGGCTTTTTTGGGGGGTAAATTATTGTGAAATCCTGATTGCAGTAGAGAAATACTGGGAGATCTCTGTGGGTTAAAGGGATTTTGAGCCGTTATAATCTAAAAAATGTGAGCAAAAACAAAACAAAACAAAACAAAACAAAACAAAACAAAACAAAACAAAACAAAACAAAACAAAACAAAACAAAACAAAACAAAACAAAACAAAACAAAACAAAACAAAACAAAACAAAACAAAACAAAACAAAACAATAAAGCCTGACTTTACTCTAGATTTGTAGAGTAAAGCTACAAAACAACAGAAAAAAACAAAACAAAAAGCAAAGCAAAACGAAATGAAATGAAAACAAAACAAGAATGGCAATAAAGCTTGACTTTACTATAGATTTGAGAAGTAAAGCTCCAAAACAACAGGAGAAAAAAAAAAAAAAAACGAAAAGAAGAATAACAATAAAGCTTGACTTTAATCTAGTTTTGATAAGTAAAACAAAACAAAACAAAACAAAACAAAACAAAACAAAAAAGGACAATAAAGCTTCACTTGAGATTTGATAAGTAAAATTACAAAAGAGAAAAAACAAATGACATGGTACAGTGAAATAATACACCATTTATCATGTGTCCACTAAATTGCTATAGGTATTTAAGGCATTAATTCTTCAAGCCCTTTTTTTTTGTAAAAATAAAATCAAGGTGGCAATAAAATACCATCAGTCACGTGTAATAAGTCAGTAAACGGTCAAAATGACTGTCGTGGTAGTTCTAACATTAATGCTGCTCTTTTTGTCCTTCAATCTCTCTCACCGTCTCTCTCCCGCACACAGTTGGCTGAGCACGGTTTGAGACTATGAACACACAAACGCTGTGCCTCTGAGTGTCAGCAAAGCAAACAGTGTGGTGCTGAAATCAGTGTTAGCAATTCCTCCAGGCAACTCACCGTCCCGCCGCAGCACCACTGGAGTGGGCGAGCTGAAGACGCTGGAGTTGGTCATCACGTTTCTCACTACACACGTGTAGTTCCCCACATCTGACGTCTCCACCTTGGCGATGTAGAGGTTTCCAGTCCGCTGGGACACAAAGCGCCGATTGTCCCCAACAGCGACACTCGGACGGCCATTAAATATCCAGGAATATCTGATTTCTGGCAAGGAAAACAAATATGTGTTACCATTGAAAACTGTTTTGCTAAAAATTTCTTTTAAAACTCAGTTATTTAAAGAAAAAGAATGACATTCAGAAAGCATTGCTAGAATGTTATGTTTTGCCTATTTATTTGAATTATTTTATATGTAAAGTCAAAGGGAGGGAAATAACTGGCCACTTTATTAGGTACACCTTTCCAACTGCTCGTTAATGCAAGTTTCTAGCCAGTCAATCACAAGCGCAACTCTATGCATTCAGGCATGTAGACATGGTCAAGACAATCTGCTGCAGTTCGAAACGAGCATCATAATGGGGAAGAAAGGTGATTTAAGTGACTTTGAACGTGATATGGTTGTTGGTGCCAGAATTGCCACAGGCTTACCAAAATTGGACAATAGAAGATTGGAAAACATTGCCTGGTCTGATGAGTCTTGATTTCTGCTGCGACATTCAGGGCAGGGTCAGAATTTGGCATCAACAACATGAAAGCATGGATTCATCGTGCCTTGTATAACGTTTCAGGCTGCTGGTGCTGGTGTGGAGGATATTTTCTTGGCACACTTTGAGCCCATTAATATCAATGGAGCATTGTGCCAACACCACATGATTCACATAATGGATGTGTAGCCGACAAATTTGCAGCAACTGCTTGATGCTATCAAGTCAAGATGGACTAAAATCTCGGAGGAATATTTCCAGTACCTTGTTGAATCAACAGTATGCCACAAAGGATTAAGCCAGTTTTGAAGGCAAAAGGGGGTCCAACCTGGTACTAGTAAGGTGTACCTAATAAAGTGGCTGGTAAGTGTAGTTCAATCAATACTTATTTCAGTACACATACAAATACAGCTGATAAATGGACAAATTATAATTTATGCTGCATAGGCTTTTATAGTGAAGATGCTGAATGCCATATGTAAAAAGTAAATGTTAAAAAGTGTTAGCTTGTCAGAGCTCTGCTGTGGGGGAAACAGTTTTTAACACTTTGTAACAAGGTTAAAGTGATCCAGCTTGAATTTGACAATGAAGCAACATGGGATGGAAACTAATATTTCTCCAGAAAAAGGCATGTAGTGGCTTTAAACACTCTAAAATCTGCATTTATTCTGTGTTTGTTTTTGTTTTATGCATAAAAACCACATTACAAACAAGATGATATGATGCAGAATTACTAAATAGTAGGATAAGGTTTGTTTATGTGTAACAGTGTTTGTAGCAATCTTTTTTAAACAAGCCTTTGGGACAAATTACATGTAAATAAGTACTGTATATTATTTATTTTATTGATTTCACCATATTTATTTATTGACAAGCAGAATGCATTTACACATGCTGTTTACCTCTAAAATCAACCAGTCAAAAGAACTAAACGTCATCATCAAAAAACTCATTTTAATTTGCAACCACAAATAAGGACATCTTTGACTTTGCTTCTCATTTTTTTTCCATCTCCATTCATTCATGTCACATCTCACTCTTTGGTAATGGCAGAGAAATACAGGAAGCTATGAAAAAGTATGAAAGTATCAAATTAAGCAGCATTTATTAGAGGGCAGACAGGGGGTTAGAGAGGCTGAAATGTGGATTGATAAGGGCTATTTAAAGTTCAAACTGCATATCTAAAAGTCTACAGCATCAAGGGAAAAAAGAACCATTTGGCTTTCAGAAAGAAAAAAAAGGTGAATTAAAGCCATCATAAATGGAGTGATGACAAGGTGAGGGACCTTTCGTCATTACAGGGCACTGTGCTTAAGGCTTTTGGTCTCTTAGGAACCAAAGTCATATAATCTTAAACCATGTGACAAAGTGCACCAATGAACAGGGCTAATTATGGGGAAAAAAAGAGCAGACTTTTACTTCAGGTATACTGTACAGTATTGCAGAGTGCATTCCTAAACATAAAAAAAAAAATAATAATAAATATATATATATATATATATATATATATATATATATATATATATATATATTGTAAACAATTTACAATTAAGCAAATAAAAATGTTGCTATAATGTTGATGTGAAGAGCTAGAAATTATCAGTATTCTTAACAATCTAATTACTAATTATTTAAAATAACCCATGTATAAGTATTATTCAATTAAATTATTTGTATTATTTAAAATAACTCCAAGGTATTCTGATTACGATATAAGGAATCTTCTGTGGAAAGTAATCGATTCTTCAATGAAAAAAAAAATTATAATATTAATAACTTATGCCAGTTAATAGGATTTTGCATGTAGTTGGAAATACTTACATGGTCTAGTTCAATGTTCTAGGTAAAAACAACCAAAAATATTTTACATTTAAAATTTCACAGACATCACCGTTACAAAATATATCATATTTTTGAAATAAGTGCTATTCTTTTTGACTTTTTTCAAAAAATTGTCAAGAAAATGTTTCTCAATTTTACAAAACAATAATTAGAATAACCTTTTTAATACTGGTGATAATAATTCATAATTGAGTATAAAAATGTAATTAAAATTATAACATATTTTTAACATAACTGAGCACTGTAAAAAAATGTGTTAAAAATTTTGACAGAAATATATTGTTTTCCATTGAAACAGTAATACCCAATAGAAAATGCACTTTGGACATTATATTTGTACCTACAGTATTGCAACTGCTGCTAATTTACAGCAAAACAGTAGCAAAACAGTACTACTGTTTTTATTTAATATCTTTTTTACTGTAACTTTCTATGCATAGCTGGCTGTAAATAACAGTAATATGCATTTTAATCAAGTGTTGATAATGCATTTAAGACTCGAATGACTCTTGATTTGCATCTGCTTTTTGAAATGTTTATTGCTGTTTTTATTTAACATCTTATTTTACTGTAATTTTTAATGCATTGTGGGCTGTAAATAACGGTAATATGCATTTCTTTTATTGTTGATAATGTATATGAGACTCTTGATTTGCATCTGCTTTATAAAGTGTTTATTGCTTTTTTATTTGATATATTTTTTTACTGTAACTTATGATGCTTTGTGGGCTGTAAATAACGATAATAAGCATTTTTATTGAGTGTTAAGAATGTATGCAACATTCTAAGGACTCTTGATTTACATCTGCTTTTTGAAATTTTTATTGCTGTTTTATTTGATATATATGTTTAACTGTAATTTTCAATGCATTTTGGGCTGTAAATAACGGTAATATGTAGTCTTCTTATTGAGTGTTGAGAATACACATAAGACTCAACTGACTTTTGATTTGCATCTGTTTTTTGAAATGTTTATTGATGTTTTTATTTACTATGTTTTACTGTAATTTTCAATGCATTGTGGGCTGTAAATAACAGCGATGTGCAGTCCTTTTTATTGAGTGTTGAAAATGCATATAAGACTCAATGAACTCTTGATTTACACCTACTTTTTGAAGCGTGTATTGCTTAACCTACAAATTACAAATGCACTGCATTTATTTTTTACAGAAAAAGGCTGAAAAACAAATCACAAACAATTACAGCATGATAATGGCATCTATGCTGCTTATATTTTATACTTTAAAATAAAGAAGTATACCATAATTCAATTTATCATAACTTTTACACCATGCAATTTCACAGTATGAATACTGTTACATTAATAGATTGCAGTAAATTACAGTAAATTACAGTAAACTGGCACATCTAGTCGGAACACCAAATTTAAAAGCCAGTAGTGATTAATATATGCAAAAATGCATTACTAATATACTGTTTATAATAGAATTTTTTTTTACGTATTTATTTATTTATTTTTTTCATTTTATGGTTCTTTTGAAAGTACAATAAAATTATATCAATCAATTTATTCATTTATTTGAATATCCTGATTGCATAGTCATCAACTGTAAATTATTATTATTTTCTATCCAACTGTAAATAAATGTGCATTTTCTTATATGTTTTTGGTTTTATAGTTTTATTTAACAAGAATAACCTTGCATAGAATAAATTTAAGCATTTAAGTTTAAGGCTATCTATTCATTATGATGAAAAGGAATGCTAGCAGGCAACTAACCCCTAGATATTTTACATATCTGCATGATTTTACCATTAATAATAATAATAATAATAATAATAATAATAATAACAATAATAAACAAAATAATCACTAATTGTTTTGAGAAATGCATTAACTGTTGTGCAAATGTAAATAGTGTTGTGAGAAATGCACCAAAGTGACTAAGAAAAACTGTAATAATAATAATAATAATAATAATAATAATAATAATACCATTTTCCAGGACTGAGCTATCAAGGCATTGTCTAATTCTCATTCCAATCATCCCAGTGAAAGAGCCTTAGATGATAAGATGCGGCAAACAGTGAAGGATCGTGTGCTGGAAGAAAACGGAAATGAAAACAGGGAGCTGTTTAGAGCAGGGGTGCCTTGTTGCACTTAAGACCATAGATTTGACTGGAAACGTGGTGGAATGACAGAAAGGCGGTGCGGTGGCGTGAAATTGCACCTCTGGCGCATGTGTGCATGGCTCTTTGAGGGGCTGCTAATCAGCTGTATACAGACACAGAAGAGCTGCACAGCTGGACTGGGGGATAAAGAGACGTGTCGCTTTAAACCAGCCACCACATGACTTTATTACCTTTCAACAGAAGGCCAAGGCTTAAGAAAATAACCTTTCCAAATGACCACAAGGGCACAAGTGCCATTAAGGAGGAGGAGGGGAAGCTAAATGCCACGAGGCTGGCGCATGAATACAAGAACGGGAGCTCCAGAGTGAACCATTGTGTGCCAGTCATTTGAAAGCGTGATTTGCTCACAATATGAGATGATTAAGATACAATCAGAACCGACGTGTACCGTACATACTAAATGAGTGCTGCGGAGTGAGGTTTTCTTTGAGGGCACGAGCACTGAATGGCAGCGAGTTTTGAAAGTTGGATTTGTTTAGCATTATCCTGCAGTGCTTGTAGGGTTGCGCAGAATACTGGTATGATTTTCTCTGATTATATTTTTCAAATGGTACAATAATTTAG